CCACCCTGACCCGCAAGGTGCCATCGCATGTCCTGAGTCCGGTTCCTCCTGCTCCCTCGGGTGGGCGGGGGCTGGGGCTTTGGATGGTGCAGGGCCTGGGGGCTCACAGGCAAGAGGTGGAGCTGTGAGGGTCTTCATCGCAATGCAGGTGACGCTGGCACTGGCGTGCGACGATGGTGGGGACAAGAGGCCCTGGGAGGAAATGTTCCTCATGGGTGAGGCTGCGGGGATCCTGGGCTTCATGACAAAACCCCCAGAGGTTCCTCGAGCCAGGCCAGGGTTGTCTGTCCACCCAGGGGTGCCCGGGCTCCCCTCCCTCCATCCATCTCCTCCTCTCCCGCCCCACCTGCTCTGACCCCCATCCCCAGCCCTCACGAGCTCCCCAGAGAGAGCCCACCTCCCCCAGGTCCAGCATGTCCATCGCTCCTGCAGCTCTCCCCCGACAGTGTCCTTCCTGGTGGGCGGGCCATCAGGTCCTGTGTGTGGCTCCAGACCCCTTTGTGCATGAAGAAATGAATGAATGAATGAACACAACCACAAATCAGGCCCAAAAGCCTCTTGTGTGCCCAGGCATGGGCCGCCTCTGGAGGGGGTGCCAGGGAGGGCTGGGCAGGGTGCTCAGGAGCAGGCAGAGTGGACACAGCTCGGGCAGCCTCCATGGGGCTGACAGGGCAGGAAAGCCCTGGGCAGGGAGTTGGGTGGATGTGGATGGAGGTGACACCTCAGCGGCCCAACCCGCAGGGCTCCCTCCAGGCTTCCAGACAGAGTGGCCCCCACGCCCTCACCCCAGCGTCAGTCTGGGGCCCCAGCTGCTCATGGGATGGCCAGGGAAGGGCTGCCACTGGTCATGGCCAGGCTGGAGCGGCTCCTCACCCTCATGCACCACCATGTGACCTGAGGTCTACTGAGGCCTGCTTGCTGGGGGTCACTCTGGGCCAGCCCGGTTCCTCAAAGCCCCCACTCCTGCCAGCCCTTGCAGCCTCCCCTCTGGCCCAGAGATGGAGTGTCCATCTCCATCTCTGGGACCATCTCTACCTCAGTGTCCCTGAGGCCCTAACTCTGTGTACTTTGGCCTCTGCTTCCCTGCATCTCGGCCCCCAGGCCAGCCCCATGGGCAGAATATGGAGCTGTGACCCCACCATGGCGCCTGCCCTTGCACCCACGTGGTCTCAGGCCAGGCCAGGCTCCCACGAGGTCAGACAGCCCAGGCCACACACACCTGGCCCCGCCACAGCCAGACCACAGACCAGACATGACGTGGAGGCAAGAGGCCGCGGCTGGCGGGGCAGGAAGTGGGTGAGAGACCCCGTCTGTGGGCCACACACAGGCGTGCAGCCCCTCCCAGCCTGCCCCTCACAGCATCAGCCTCACTCCCAAGGTGGGCAAATGGCCCAGAGCAGGACAGGAGTCTGTTGAGGACACACAGCCATTGAGGCAGGGCCTGGATGAGGCCTGAGCCTTCTCCCCACCCCAGCTCCTCTGGGGTAGGCAAGCAGTTGGACCTGCAGCCCAGGCCGCCTGGTGGAGGGAGACCTAGGCCTCTCTCAGCCATGGTGGACCCTCCAGCAGCCTTGAGCAGGTGGGTCCCGGAAGCTATTCAGGCCTCATCTCCTCCTCAGCCAGGCCATACAGTGCCTGCCTAGGACCAGGGGAATGGACAACAGACACCAAGACAGAGAGACAAGAAAGAAAGGCAGACTGCCATGGATCCCAGAAACCACAGGGCAGGACGCTAGACCTGGGCAGGGATTGGCTGGATTTAACGCAGAACTGGGCTAAACTAAACTGGGCTGAGTTGGGCTGACTTAACTGGGCAGAGCTGAGCTGACTGCAATGGGCTGAGCTGAGCTGGGTTGAGCTAGGATGAGCTGGGCTGAACTGAGCTGAACTGGGCTGAGCTCGGCTGAATGAGGCAGAGCTGAATTGGGCTGGGCTGAGCTGAGCTGGGCTGAACTGGGCTGAGATGAACAGGGCTAAGCTAGGCTGAATGGCACTGAGTTGATGTGGGCTGAGCTGGCTGAACTGGGGTGAAGTGTGCTAAGTTGGACTGAGCTGAGCTGGGCTGAACTGAACTGAGCTGAGCTGGGTTGAGCGGGGCTGGACTGAGCTGAGCTTTACTGGGCTGAACTGGGCTGAGCTGGGCTGAGCTGAACTGGGCTGAACTGGGCTGAGCTGGGCTGGGCTGGGCTGGGCTCAACCGGGCTGAGCTGGGCTGAGCTGGGCTGAGCTGAACTGGGCTGGGCTGGGCTGGGCTGAGCTGGGCTGAGCTGAACTGGGCTGGGCTGAGCTGAACTGGCCTGAGCTGGGTTGAGCTGAACCGGCCTGAACTGGGCTGAGCTGGGCTGAGCTGGGCTGAGCAGAACTGGGCTGGGCTGGGCTGGGCTGGGCTCAACCGGGCTGAGCTGGGCTGAGCTGGGCTGAGCTGAACTGGGCTGGGCTGGGCTGAACTGGGCTGAGCTGGGCTGAGCTGAACTGGCCTGAGCTGGGCTGAGCTGAACCGGCCTGAGCTGGGCTGAGCTGAACCGGGCTGAACTGGGCTGAGCTGAACTGGCCTGAGCCGGGCTGAGCTGAACTGGGCTGGGCTGAACTCGGCTGAGCTGAACTGGGCTGGGCTGGGCTGGGCTGAGCTGAGCTGGGCTGAGCTGTGCTGGACTAAACTGAGCTGGGCTGTGCTGAGCTGAGCTGAACTGGGCTGGGCTGAGCTGAACTGGGCTGAACGGGGCTGAGCTGGGCTGAACTGGGCTGGGCTGGGCTGAACTGGGCTGAGCTGGGCTGAACTGGGCTGAGCTGCGCTGGGCTAAACTGAGCTGGGATGTGCTGAGCTGAGCTGGGCTGGACTGGGCTGAGCTGAAATTGGCTGAGCTAGCTGAGCTGAACTACTGGGCTGGGCTGAGCTGAGCTGTGCAAACGGGTCTGAATTGGGCTGAGATGGGGTGGTCTGAGCTGAGCTCGGCTCAACTAGGCTGATCTTGCCTTAACTGGGCTGATCTGTGCTAAACAGGGCTGAACTGGGCTGAGCTGGGCTGAATTAGGCTGAAGAGAATGAGCTGAGCTGGGCTAACTAGGCTGAGCTGGACTAACTGGGCTGAGCTGTGGAAACAGGGCTGAATTGGGCTTAACTAGGCTGAGCTGGGCTGAACTGAGCTCACCTGGGCTGATCTTGGCTTAACTAGGCTGAACTCAGCTGCACTGAGCTGGGTTGAGCTGGGCTGAATTGTGCTGGGCTGAGTTGGGCTGAGCTGGACTGAGCTGAATGGGTTCTGCTAGGCTGATCTTGGCTTAACTGCCTAATCTGTGCTAAACAGGGCTGAACTGGGCTTAACTGCGCCGAGCTGACCTGAACTGAGTGGAGCCAGGCTGAATTGGGCTCAGCTAGGTTGATCTTAGCTTAACTGGGCTGATCTGTGCTAAACAGGGCTGAGCCTGGCTGAGCTGGCCTGAATTGGACTGAATTGAGCTGAGCTGGGCTGAAGTGGGATGAGCTTGGCTCAACTGGGCTGAGCTGAGCTGAGCTGAAGTAGGCTAAGTTGGGCAGAACTGGGCTGAGCTGGCCTGAGCTGGGCTGCAGTGACTGGAAAGGGGTTGGTTGAGTGTGGACCACCCCCAGAGTCCTGGTCTCCAAGCAGCCAATTCACCCTGATTCTTGGGGGATCATGGGGATGTGCAGCCTCAGGGTGCATCCGTGATGCTTTCTCCCCCTTCACCAATTGCCCTGATGGGAATGGAAAGTCCATGTGGGCAGACCCCGCCCCGTGTAGCCCAGCCTGTCTGGGTGGGACATCCCAGAAAGACTGATTTAGATTTGGGCCTTTGGCCTCAAAACTCTGTAGGCCACAAGGGTTGACTTCTGTTTGTTAGAGGCTGGGAGTGGGATTAGTAGAGTGGTGGGTGGTTGGACTGGGGCCCTGACTGATGAAGTGGGAGAAAGGACAGAAGGCACAGGCCCTCTCTCCTCCCCAGTGTCACCTCCAGCGCAGCCAAGCCAGCCCCTGGTGCAGGCTCAGCTTCAAATCAGAGCACTCTGTCCTCACCTGTGCCCTCCCATGGGCCCACCTCTCATGACCCCCCAGGCCCTGAGGAGAGCATGGTGTGCCACTGTACAGAGGGGGCTGGGGCTCCGGCGGCTCCCACGGAGGGCTGGTCGGGGGAGAAGCAAGGGTAATAATCACCACTCCCATATGGAAGTGGCCTGTGCTAGAGGCCCTGTCCAAGGAGCGTGTCTGGGTCCACATGCTAGAACTCTGAGAAGTGTATTCAGAAATAGTGCCTCTGGACTCAGGAGGCTGGTTCCAACCCCAGGTCCATGGCATATGAGCTGCATGACCTTGGGGTAGTCACTAACCCTCTCTGTGCCAGTTTCCTCTAGTGTAAAGGAGAGGCGGGTACCATCCCATCCTCGTGGGGCTGTTGGGGTCTGGGCCACACAAGGGCCCACTGTCTCACAGCACGTCCTATGTTGCAGCGTCCGTGACCAGCCCCAGCATCTTCCCCCTGAGTCTTCGGAGCGCCGACTCGTCTGACCCTGTGGTCATTGCCTGCCTGATCCGGGGCTTCTTCCCACTGGGCTACCCAGAGCCCATTACGGTGACCTGGGGCAAGAGCGGGGACAGCGTGTCTGTCACGACCTTCCCCCCCTCGGAGGCCAATGGCCTATACACCGTGACCAGCCAGCTGACCCTGCCAGCCGAAGAGTGTCCAGATGAAGAAACCGTGAAATGCGAAGTACAGCATTACACCAGCCCCAGCCAGTCTGTGGACGTGCCCTGCAAAGGTCAGAGGGCGGCTGGGGAGGGGCAGTGGGCTACCACATTCCCCTCATGACCCAGCGCCTGGAGCTGTGTCCCCCGCTGGGGCTCCCCTCAGACAAAAGTGGGCTGTCAGGCTGAGCCCCCAGCGGGTGGCAGCTGACAGGCCAGGAGGGGGCCTGGGCAGGAGCTGGAGGGGAGAGAAGGGGAGGGTGGGCGGGCGGAGTGGGGCGCTGACCTGCTCCGGCCTCCCTCATGGCTCCAGAACCTGGCGACGGTTGTAAGTGCCCCTTTTGCGGTCCGCCCCGCCTGTCTCTGCACCCGCCGGCCCTCGAGGACCTGCTCCTGGGCTCCAATGCCAGCCTCACATGCACACTGAGCGGCCTGAAAGACCCCCAGGGTGTCACCTTCACCTGGAGTCCCTCAGTTGGGACAAGACCTATCCAGAAGACCCCCGTGCGTAACCCCAGTGGCTGCTACAGCGTGTCCAGCATCCTGCCAGGCTGCGCTGAGCAATGGAAAAGTGGGACGACCTTCTCCTGCACCGCCACGCACCCTGAGTCCAAAGAGTCACAGACTGTCACCATCGCCAAAGCCAAAGGTGAGCTCAGACGCCACCGGCGAGGTGCCGCACGGCACCCTACAGTATGCGAGGCACATTCCTAAGCCTGCCTCCTCCCCCTAGCCTCTAGAGGATGTGGGTGTGCTCCCACCCACCTTATACAGAGGGAAACTGAGGCACAGGGTGCCCAATGGGCAGAGGGGCTCTTTCCTCCCTGCCCAGACTCCTGACCCGGCTCTTCACCCTCCAGTAAACATCTTCAAGCCCCAGGTCCACCTGCTGCCGCCGCCGTCGGAGGAGCTGGCCCTCAACGAGCTGGTGACGCTGACGTGCCTGGTGCGGGGCTTCAGCCCTAAGGATGTGTTGGTGCTCTGGCTGCAAGGGAACAAGAAGCTGCCCCGTGAGAAGTACCTAACCTGGGAGCCCCTGCGGGAGCCCGACCAAAGCGTCACCACCTTCGCCGTGACCAGCCTGCTGCGCGTGGAGGCCGAGGCCTGGAAGAAGGGAGAGAGCTTCTCCTGCACGGTGGGCCACGAGGCGCTGCCCCTGGGCTTCACCCAGAAGACCATCGACCGCCTGGCGGGTAAACCCACGCACGTCAATGTGTCTGTGGTCATGGCGGAGGCAGAAGGCACCTGCTACTGAGCTGCCCCCGCCCACCCCTTGAATAAACTCCATGCTTGCCCAAAGCAGCTCCTTGCTTCCATCCAGCCGCCTTTCTGTCTGTCCTCGGGGTCTGCGGCATGCCAGGGAGGGGGCAGGGCCCAAGGAGGAAAGAGTACCCTGCTGCCCTGTCCCTCTCTGGACCTCAGTTTCCCCGCTCAGCCTGGCACCTTGACGTGCCTAGCATACCCATGTGCTTGTGTGAGTGTGTAAGCATGAGTGTGAGCACGTAATGCATGATGGTTGAGGCTGAGCTGGGACTGAAACCCGAGGGTGGCAGAGTCGGGCGAGGCAGGCACAGCCCAGTGGGTCCTAAGAGCAATGGGCTTCATGGGCAGTTCCCAGTGGGAAGGTGGCATGGTCATTTGTATCTCAGAAGACTGACTTTAGGGGCAGCCGGGAGGGACTAGAGAGGGTGAGAGGGGAGCAAGGTGGCCAGGAAGAAGCTGGTGCTGTTGTTGGGTGTCATGGGAGGAACGGTGAGGGAAGGAGGACTGGACTCCAGGGGCCCCACGCTGCCCTTGATGGGTGCAAGGCACAAAGTGCAGGACGGCCCCACTGCCTCGCACAGAAGGGGGACCACCCTCAACCTGAGCACAGTCTTCCCCACCCACACTAAGCTGCTCTGTATGTGTGCACACAGGTGCACACACATGCACACATACGCTCCCACGTGCTCACACTCACATGTGCGCGCGCACACACACACAGACATTGGGGCCCCACAGGTGCAGGAAGTTCACAGTGCAGGCCCAGCTCCAGGAAGGCAAGGGGAGTCCCCACGCAAGCCCCCAGCAGGTTTTCCCCAGGCCCAGTCCCATTGCCCTGCACCCCTCCTGGCCTCAGGCCTCTCTGTGTGTCCAGCTAAGCACAGCTCAGGGGTCAATTCCACAGGCCCCTCGTAGGCAGCCCCTGCTCCCTGCCTGTCCCTAGACTCAAGTCTCCCATCGCTTCCTGAACCCAAGTATAGCCCAAACCATAGACAGCATGGGGACAGGGGTGGGGAATGGTCAGAAGAGACAGCTCCCACCCAGGGCCCCTCTGCAGCTTCTGCATGGGGCTCCTGGCAGAAGAGGAGGAAGCCAGGGGAGACCGAGCATAGAGAGGCAGCCCCATGACTGCTGTGGGGACACCTGGCACCAGGGCTCCCACAAGGGGGCAGCGAGGCCCCTGCTCTTGTCTCAGACCTTCTGGGCCTCCTCAGGGGACCCAGCCTTCTGGTGCCTCCCTCTGCTCCCAGGGCCAAGGCAGGGTGGGGCCCCCTCTCCACCCTGGCCACTGCTCCCCTCTCGAGTCCAGTCACCAAAGAGCAATAGGGGTAGCAACGGGTTAATTGGAGAAGTGCTGCCATAGAGCAGGTGCTCCAGCTACCAAGAGACCCAGGACCCCAAAGGAGGAGCTTTCTAAAGAGACAGGAAGGCAGAAGAATCGGTAGATGAGGGGCTGAGCCAACAGATGGACAGCAGGCAGACAGGTGGATGAATCATAGGACATATAATGGATGGGAAGATGGATAGATAGATGGATGGATGGATGAGTGGATAAGTAGATGGATAGTGGATGGATGGGTGGATCGATGGATGGATGGGTGGGTAGATATATGGGCACATAGATGGATGGATCGATGGACGGATGGACGGATGGATGGACGGATGGACGGGTGGATGGGTGGATGGGTGGTTGGAGTCCTGGATGGATGGATGGGCAAATGGATGAATGATTGGATGTGTCAGCATATGACAAACAGGCCCAAATCCCATGTAACACGGGAGGTCTATGCCCTAGGACCCTGAGGACAGCAGGGCTGCCTGTGCTGGTGGCCTTCTTCTGGGCCTCCCTGTGCTCCTTGTAGCTTATCAGCTACATTCCCTGGGAGGGCAACAGAGGGCCCTGGTCATGCCCATGCAGCCCTTGGCTCACTGAACCACAGATCCAGATCTATGGCTCGACCCAAAGCACCTTGAGAGTGGGTGTGTCTGGTCCTCTCTGGCCCCACTCCGGGCCCAGGCCAAGGCCAGCCCAAGATCAGGGGCTTGCTGAGGGCTTGCTAAGGATACAGATAGGGCTGGGATCCAGGAGGCCTTGGGCTTGAGCTCTCTTTGGAGCAGCAAAGACAATGCCCACCCTCCTGCCCTGCCAGCTGTCTCTCCCTAAGGTGCCCTGAGACCCTCAGAGACAGGGGTTCTGTGGGCATCTCAAAAGCTGCAAGGGTCCCAGCCACCTCATCCTCCCTGAGGCAGCCTCAGACCTGAGCTAGGACACTCTGTCCCAACCCCAAGGGCGCTAGGAAGGGAGGGCATTGGCTTGGCCCCCACCCATACAGGCACAGGCCTGACAGGCTCTTAGTGTCTTGCAGGTTTCCAGGAGCCATCTCCCTGGGCAGTGCTGGACCCACCACAGGAGGGCCTGGAGGAGGATGCTCCAGGAGCCAGCCTGTGGCCCACCACCATCACCTTGCTCACCCTCTTCTTGCTGAGCCTCTTCTACAGCACGGCACTGACTGTGACCAGCATCCGGGGCCCATCTGGCAGCAAAGAAGTCCCCCAGTACTGAGCAGGAGCCAGCCAAGCACAAGTGGGGGTGGGCAAGGAGGCAGAGCAGTGGGTTGATGGGGGCGGGGGCGCTCATCTACCAGAAGAGCATCTACCTGTTCCCCCACACTTAGGAGTCTGGTCTCCCAGGGAGGTAGTCCCTTCACAAACACTGAGGATATGGGCAGGCCTAGGGATCAGAGCAAATGTTTCCCCAGCAAGGTCAAGGTGTCAGCTTCCCCCAGGTGCAGTCACTGCAGGATTCAATCTAGTCTCCCATAAGCCAGGCCAGGCTGGGGATGAGGCATTGGCAAGCACCCTGCCCACCTCAGGAGCTCCCCTGGTGCCCTGACCCCTCTTGTGTTTGCAGGGAGGAGCCTGGAGGAGCCTCCTGGAAGCCCAGCTGGATGCCGGAGCTCAGCCCTGCTTGGAAGCCACCCTACACTCCCACACAGGCCTTCCCGGTGCAATAAACTGATCCCCAAGGCAGAAGTTCTCAGACTCTGAATGAGGGGAGGGGGACAGGAGGGGACGGACGCTTGGGAAAGGAGGATGCCTGTCTCAGGACCCATAGCGGGGTCACGGGGAGCATGGAGATGGGCTCCCCCTTGCCAAGTGCCCACCTGAACAGGTTCTGCATAAGGCTACAGGGCCAGGCAAGAGTTGGGCTTCACCAAGAGGATATAGAGAAGACCCCACCCAAAAACTGCAATCAGCTCCCTGGTCTTGGTCACTGGGCCCTGGTCCTGACCACTCAGCCTGGTCCTGATCACTGAGCCCTGGTCCTTGTCACTTGCTTTGGTCCTGCTCAGTAGGCCCTAGTCCTGGTCCTGACCACTGCACCCTGGTCCTGGTGATTGAGCCCTGGTCCTAATCACTGAGCCAGGTCCTGATCACTGAGTCTTGGCCCTGGTCCTGGTCACTGAGCCCTGGTTCTGATCATTGAGCCACGGTCCTAATCACTGGGCCCTTGTCCTGAGCACTGAGCCACGGTCCTAGTCACTGGGACCTTGTCCTGATCACTGAACCCTAGTCCTGATCACTGAGCCCTGGTCCTAGTCACTGAGCCCTGGTCCTGATCAATGGGCCCTGGTCTGATCACTGGGCCCTGGTCCTGGTCCCTGGGCCCTGCTCTTGATCACTGGGCCCTGGCTTATCACTGAGTCTTGGTCCTGATCACTGGGCCCTAGTCCTGGTCACTGAGCCCTGGTCCTGATCAGTGGGCCCTGGCCCTGGTCATTGGGCCTTGGTCCTGATCACTGGGCCCTAGTCCCAGTCACTGAGCCCTGGTCCTGATCAGTGGGGCCCGGTCCTTATCACTGAGTCCTGGCCCTTGTCCTGGTCACTAATCCCTGGCCCTGATCACTGGGCCCTGGTCTGATCACTGGGCCCTAGTCCTGGTCACAGGGCCCTGGTCCTGGTCACCGGGTCCTGGTCCTGATCACCAAGCCCTAGTCCTGATCACCAAGCCCTGGTCCTGGTCACTGAGCCCTGGTCCTGGTCACTAGGCGCTGGTCCTGATTACTGAGCCTTGGTCCTGGTCACTGAGCCCTGGTCCTTATCCCTGGGCCCTGGTCTGTTTACTGAGCCCTGGTCCTGATTACTGAGCCCTGGTCCTGGTCACTGAGCCCTGGTTCTGATCCCTGGGACCTGGTCCTGATCACTGAGCCCTGGTCCTAATTGCTGAGCCCTGGTTCTGATCCCTGGGCCCTGGTCCTGGTCACCAAGCCCTGGTCCTGATCACTGAGCCCTGGTTTGATCATTAAGCCCTGGTCCTGGTCACTGGGCCCTGGTCCTG